CCTTGTATACATAAATATTTCATAGCTATTTTTGATATTACTGGATATTTTTTAGAATTAGACTTCCACCAATTTAATGGACAATCTGTTCTATCTATTTCTTGTTCTTTTGTGTATAAATCAAACTTAGTGTGGGATGAATTAGTAGTTGGTGATTGAGAACCAAAAATAAAATCGTCAAGATCAATTTCTTTTGTTGGAGTGAGAGGTTGAAATAACATAGATGACGATGAAGTTGGAGGTGTGTGTATGTTCATTGTACTCTTTTAACAAAAGTGAATTTGCTTCAACCTTACAGTTAAATGCGTTAAGTCCGTCTAAGGTTTGTTTCGTAATCACATGTTTATCATAATAAGATGGTGTTAAAAATGTAAAATTTTTATGTCTTTGATCCAATGATGTACCTAATAATGTACATTTCTGTTTATATATATGCGAAAAACGTGATTTTAAAGCACTTCTCAATGTATCTTTTAATTTTTGAATAGTTTGTGGATCAAATGATGATGGTTCTAAACTGGTTAATCAACCAGTAACAACTGGTAATATTTTAGAAATTGTTGGTAAAGATGCTAGTGCTAACTGACGTGTAGCTGTTTCAAATGGTTTTAACGTACTCTAAATAGGAGAAAAACAAGATTCATTTATAAGAAGCTCTGTTATCAAGCACTTCTAACTTTTACCTTTAGTTGCACTTGCAAATCCCATTCAATGCTCGTTGGTACGTTAGCTTTAATTAATCTTTTTTGAAATTCTTTTTCTTGAAGACATGCTGTTATAGGGTCCTTTTCTTCGATTAATCTTTCTATCCTATAATACGTACTATTCCAACGTGTTACAACATCATAAATTAACTGACGTTCTTTCATATTAAATAGTTTTTGAAAATGATTCAAAGTTTCTTTAGCTAAATGACTATTTTTGACTAATAAAACTAATTTTCTAGCAGTTGCTAATGCTTCTTTTACATCATCTAATTCATATGCATCAACCACACACAAATTAATATTATGATCCGCGCAACCAAACCAATCTTTCTTAAAATCTCTTCCAACATAGTACTACAATTATCCGATACTAAACATACGATTTTATCTAATATACCCCATTCAATACATATATCTTGAAGAGCTTGTGTTATGCGATCGGCTGTACGATTATCACTAAATTGAGTTGTTTGCAATACAAAAGTTTTTAATTCATAATTTGAGGTAATTAAATGACTTGTCACTGTTATATACGGTTGATTACATATGATGTCCAGTTATCCGTAGTAATACATATTCCTAGCGAATCTTTTAATTGCTGTTCGAAGCTGAAATTCAGATTGAGTTTGATTGTGACTGAGAAATAGATCAGATTTAGTCGCATCTCCTGTTCGCTCGCGTTTCATTGTGTTCGAATTAGAAATCGGGATGCTATCCGTAAAATCTCGATTATTTTTGGATGGCGATACATGCGGTTTCCTTTTAAATACGATTACTCTAGATTCAGCGAACAGCTACAATTTATCTCAATTGAGAACAGGATCGCCTACAATCGCGAAGCTTTGTTTATACCGAACAGTCGCAATCAATCGACAAATCCGTTTAACTGACATTTATAATCGTGCGACGTTGGGTGGTATTAAATAAAAATTGCGATTAGTTGCGAACCGAAATTATACTCCGATTAATCGCGATTAGCGAAGTCACGTCTAATTGTGACTAGTTAAATTCATTAGATAACCAGAAATATTTTTTTCTTATTCCTTCGACCTACACCCACGGTACCTCCATTCCTCTAATGAGGTCCCTTTCCCGGCGATCTGATTAGATCGAACAAGTACTCCGCGCCGAGACTCGAGTCTCAGGCACGGAGTTCTTCTCCTTGCGACTGCCCTTGATCTACTGCTTGTAGACCGGCCACGTCACTTCTCAGAGTCATTTAACACTCTAACAAGAGTGGATAAGTGAAGTTATAATTTAAATGAAGTTATTTACTATACGCACGCTATAGAGGGTGAGTATATATAGCAAATTCTTTGCAAAATTTATGCAGTAAAAATGAGTCATTGATTAGTCGATAATCAATCGGTAATCAATCGGCTGAGTTTTTTAAACAACTATGAAAGGAACTTTTATGCATATTAGTAGTTGTCGAGCTGCTCTATCTTCTACGACCTAAAAAGGCTGATTTGAATGCCATCTTTATAGCGAACAAAGGATCGCAAGGGGTACGTTCTGCCAGATCGGTTCGAAAAAGCGGAATTTAGGCAAAAGAAGAATACAGGGCACGTCATCTGAATTGTTTGCATTAATTCCGCTTTTTCGAACCGATCTAGCAAAACGCGTCACTCGCGGTCCTTTTTTCTCTAAAAAGATGGCATTCAAATCAGCCTTGCTAGATCGTAGAAGAAAGAGCAGCGCGACAACTACTAGTATGAATCAAAATTCCTTTCATAGTTGTTTTAATAAAGCACTAGAAGTCCGGCAGACTTACGTGCATAACCCATCATCCAATAGTCGGTGGACAAAGAAACGAGTTTCTTGGTGGATCGGAACAGAGAATGCAATGTTTCCAAGTGTAAGGTATTGTAGGGGATTCAGATGATAGACCTGTAAGAAGTACCACATTATCCTAACAGAAATCACATGAGTTCCTATGATAAGATTATGTAGGATTTCATAGGATCCTAAAACGATTTCCCGTGTTGCGTAGGGTCCCATACGATGCAGGTTTACTCATTCAGTGTACATACAGTCAGACGCTTTAACTGATGTAAAATCGCGACTGAAAAGCAGTTGCGATCAATCGATAATCTAGACTACGACTTCAATCGCGTTTTTGTACTCTAACATCGCGACTTCGCTTTTATTCACGATGGCTCGATAACAAAATCTTTCTTCGATTAATCGTGTTTGCAAGAAGAGGCATAACTGCACACTAGAAGAACGCGACTCATTTTTAGCCAAGGTTGATCGATAAAGTTTCATATCATCAGTCAGTCGCAATTACTAAAATACTTGCGATTTACTATTACAAAATCCAGATCAGCTGTTAGTTATAACTAACAGTTTTTTTGTATATGAATTAGAATAACCCATGAGATTTTCTTTTTAGGACCGGCTAATCGGTCTGTCACTGCTCATGGCGATTGGAGAGAAAACTGCGATTTCATTGTGCATAATGGTGATTCAATCGATCGTGATTTTTTCAGAAGTTTTTGTTTTGAGAACAAAACAGAGAGCAGACTAGTAGAACGTCGGTCACACTAAATAACACAATGATCCCTTAGAGAAAAGAAAAAACCAACTAACAGTTTAGACATATGAATTAGACTTATACCGAAATGAAACAGAAAACGAAAAATAGAGAGAAAAGGAAATAATGAGTTTCGTCCTTGTTGTGCGTAATACGTACAAAAACGGCGAGAAGAACAATGAACTACTATGTAACTGGTTATAAAGTTTATAGTATAAACTGATAGTAGTCAGCACAAAAGCGTATTCAACTTCCTATCACACGCGTTTTGGATTTTATTTTTTATATTTTTTTTATGATACTCTTTGTGATCATATGAAGCAAGGCAGGATGTTTTTATATATTCTTTTTCAGTGATCATTTATCTACTCGTCGACTACTTTGACTTCACTCATTGTGTGCGCTTAGTTTCGAGAATTTACGATATAATCCTACTTTTTTAGATTTTTTCTTCTATCTATCAGTCTCTTTTCCTATTTACTATTCACTCTTTTTTCGTTATGAAATTAACTACAGTGTCGGGTAGGTCAGATGATAACTCAAAAGCAAAGAAGACAATACCACACATAAGAAAGAATCGTTCAAAATCCGGTAGATCGATGGCAAGTGGTGAGTCGGTTTTGGCGTTACAAAGAGAAAAAGCAACTCATCTTGTTGTACAAGATGAAACAAGTCAAAAACTGGTTATTGTTCCAACCAGCGATATTAATACATGGGGCGTGCTGAAAAATTTGTTTTGCTTTTATAAAAGCAAAATAGTTTCAAACTTCATGCTCCATTGCAAACGTATTCAGCTGTATCCTTCTCTATTAATTGCGGTGTTTTATCCTTTATAACTTCGTTCCGATTTTCTGTAGAGCTTAGAAGCGATACATTTGATAAGTTCAACTTTTCTTGAGCTGAAGAATTTGAAATCTCAGATAAAAGCGGCCTAATAACGATCAAACACAATTCGTTTTCTTTTTTGATATTTTGTTCTGGTGAACATTTTATCAACTTCTCAACAAGCATTGAAAATAAATGTATATGCTTGAAAGGGGCAGGTAAAATTTCTTCAACCTCGTCTCTCCAATTGCGTATTTTTGAACCAATGGCATCTAAATTACAGATTTTTTCTTATCTCTTTGAACATAACAACTGGGTGTAGCTATTTCTTTGATCGTGTAAAAAAATGATTTTGTGATAAAACTATTTTATAATGATTAAAGACGACGTTCTAATAATAAAGCTACATCTCTTAAGAGTCACTGCACGAGTGAGACAGGTTTTTTGCGTACCAGGTGCTCAATCGATGTTTGACTTTCTGGCTCAACATTTTACCATATGTAGAGGCAACATATATAGAAAGATTCTCAAAATTTTTTCGTTCAGGCTTACTTCGTTAAAAAATTATAGAGCTTTTGGTAAAAGCCCTAAAAATAGCCTTAAACGATACTTGAATAAAAGTCAAATTTCTGATGTTTATATCTTGGTCTAGGAAGTTGATTAAGAGCTCGTATTTGCAGCATAAGTAGTCGAGGTCGAATACTATCTGTAATCAAGAGCATATGCAAAAATAAGTTTTACATATGTGCGAACATATGCGCATAAGATGGTAAAATCTTACTGAGACGAACAGTTTGACATAATTTCTTTTTACCTTAAAGCTTTCCTATTGCATTGAGTGTTACTTATATCCATTGTACAAGTAAGCCTGTACTATAAATTATGAAATCGATCCATACAAGTCTCTTGGTTGATGCACGGTTGAGCTCGAAAGTCGACAGAAAAACGAAAAATGGCCTACTTTCCAATCGATTTTCTCGTCCGATAGTGTTCCAAATATTGGAACTATAATGCCGCTGTAATCTATGGACCCAATACTATTCATGCCTGAAAGCCGTTTTTTGGAGGATTTACATATGGCTCTGGAAAAGGTCTCTGAAAATCCGTTTTTTGAAGTTGACTTACG